TCCGTCCCTTCCCTCGCTCTTGACCGTCGCCCGGTACCTGGCTGGGCTCTTATCAGTTCTTATCGTTATCACGAACCTCGTTGATCCGATCCATCTCAAGACCGAGACCCTCCCCCAGATATAGCCAAGGCTAACACTCTCGCTCGGGAACAAGGGTCCGTCGCTTCTTCTTCAACGACCAACTTCTGCCTGTCTCCAGCAAGGCAGCAGCTTCCGACCGTCTCTCACCGCGCATCCTTTGCTTCGACGCTCCCGCTCCATCTCTAGCATAGCATCAGTCAGTACCCGATCTCGTCGCCGTTGCCTTGGCCTCATCACATCGCCCTCCCAAGCCCGTCCCCAATATTCCATCCAGAGCCCATCCCCGAAGACCTCCGGCTTGCTTGAACAATCAGCACGCTACACGGTCAATCCGCATTGCCACAACGAGCTGCACAAGCACATAGCCCCCGAATCCCATCCTGGCCAGTTACACATTCACAAGACACACAACCTTGTATCATGCTTCTCTGTCTTCGAACTCTCACTAACTCAGCACCTCTTGCTCTCCGCAGATACACTCTTTTGACGTCGCACCCCCTCGGGGACGCCCGATCGCCAATTCTCGCCAGGATCAGCCCAGGATCCAGACCTCCCGAGTCAACTGTGACGCCCGGGTACACATCCTCACCGACCATTCCTCCTGCCCCGGCCGATTGTTGTCTGCCTAAGTGTCCGGCAACCCCAACCCACCTATTTCGTCCCAGTCGATAATATCCCCTCCGAGCTCGATTTGATCCCATCCCCCTTCAGTATCGGAAGTCGTTTACATGAGGAACCCATCCGCGACCGTAGCGCTCTCGTCTTCATAAGCCTCCGGGCTATCACTCACTTCGCCATCCTTCCTGCCGGTGACAACTTCTACAGGAAGCCATGTCGGCGTCGCGGGACTCGGCGTCGTCCCACGGCTCCAAGAAGCCGAGCAGACGAAGTGTTGGGGATTTCATTATCGAAAAGGAAATTGGCAAGGGGAGCTTTGCTCAAGTGTATCAAGGATGGCATCACGTACGTTCCTAGCCCACGCTACATCATGCACACCGATATCTCATTGTCCCTGCTCCCCAATTCCCTAGAAGATATATGTGTTTCAAGTCCCCAGAGCTAACATTCGAACCTAGAAAACGAGGGAGATCGTTGCCATCAAGTCTGTCGAGCTGGAGCGGCTCAATAGAAAGCTCAAGGAGAATCTATATGGAGAGATCAAGATCTTGAAGACGTTGCGACACCCTCACATTGTGGCTCTCCATGACTGCGTCGAGTCGACGACGCACATCAACCTAATTATGGAATACTGCGAACTCGGCGATTTATCCTTGTTCATTAAGAAGCGAGATAAACTCGGCACGCATCCGGCTACTCACGACATGGCTCGTAAGTATCCATGCGCCCCAAACTCGGGCCTGCACGAGGTCGTTATCAGACACTTCTTGAAACAGCTTTCAAGCGCCCTTGAGTTCCTTCGAACAAACAACTACGTACATCGCGACGTCAAGCCGCAAAACCTGCTGCTTCTACCGGCACAGTTCCTACGGGATCAGCGCGGTTTACCAGTAATGGAGGCCAGTCAGAATTCATTGATTCCAGTTGCTGGTCTGGCTTCCCTGCCTATGCTTAAGCTTGCAGATTTCGGATTTGCCCGAGTGCTTCCGTCAACGTCGCTTGCCGAGACCCTATGCGGTTCCCCGCTCTACATGGCACCTGAGATTCTCCGGTATGAAAAATACGACGCAAAGGCTGATCTTTGGTCTGTGGGCACCGTCTTGTATGAGATGGCCACTGGGCGCCCGCCATTCCGAGCTAGAAATCACGTCGAACTCCTCAGGAAGATAGAAGCTGCCGAGGATGTGATCAAATTCCCAAGAGAGGTCACCATCACCCCTGAATTGAAGAGTCTTATCCGAGCTCTGCTCAAGCGGACACCCGTCGAGCGATTGAGCTTTGAAGGCTTCTTTACTCACCCCGTTGTGACGGTTGATATTCCCGGACTCGTGGAAGATGACCTCCCAAGGTCACCACCGAAGATAGATACCGAGGTAGGGGCTGGGACTGTAGCCAAGCCACCATCGCCGCGTATTGCATCACTACGACAAGCTGGAAATGACCCGGCACAAGAGCCGCGTCTCTCGATGTCCCCTCGAGAAAGCCGCCCACACTCACCAACGGGCGGCAGCCCTGGTCAAGCCCGGTTTCCTCGACGAGATGACGCACTTCAGAGGCCCGGCAGCTCAGCACGTGATGAGAAGGAAGGGCTTGGGATTAGACGGCCAGCCGCCCCTCTTCATGCTGCTTCTGCCCCTCCCAAGACACGCGTTGGAGAAGTACCCGGTCGCCACAGTGCGGCTCCTGATGCACGAGCCCCCGAAGCCCGTAAACCATCAACCGGCCGTCGTCTTTCGCCTGAGGAGGAGAAAGCCGCCCAAGAGATTATGTTTGAGCGTGACTATGTCGTTGTGGAGAAGAGGCATATCGAAGTAAATGCCTTGGCTGATGAGCTAGCGGAGAATGAGAAGCTTGGGCATAGGGGTCAGAGCCTCCCCAAGACGGGCCAGATAGTACGACGAGCGACCCAGCAAGGAGTCCCAACTTCGACGACTGGTGCCATACCTACCCCAAGCTCTCGGACCGCGTTGATATCCCAAGGCCACGCATCACACGACAGGAGATCCTCATATGACAAGAGCCTTTCTGCCAGCCCAGGATCGGCATCGAGTGCTATTTCCAAGGCGATCCAGGACGCAAGTCTGAGGCTATTTGGTTTCAAAGTACCGCCACTGAGAACGGGAAAGGGTCAATCGCCACCCCTGTACCATCCGTTCCCTGCATATCCAACTCCGACCTACGCTGGGCTTCTCGGGGATGGAAAGGGAACACAGGCAGCCGACGAGGATATGGGAGCGGCACAAACGATTGAGGAACTCGCCACCCGCAGTGACTGTGTATATGGATTCGCTGAGGTCAAGTACAAGCAGCTTGTGCCGATGGCGCCCTCAGCGGAACATGGACTTGGTGGAGCCGACCCGAACCAGATACACACCGAGGAGGATGGACTCACCGTTGAAGCTATTGTGTCTCTCTCGGAAGAAGCACTGGTTCTCTATGTCAAGTCTCTCACCTTGCTTGCCCGCGCGATGGACATTGCCAGCGTATGGTGGTCCAACAGAACTCGTAGCGAACCATCCACTGGTGTCTCAGCTGCAGTGTCACAAAATGTCGTACAGCGCATCAATTCGGTCGTGCAATGGGTGCGAAGCCGGTTCAACGAAGTCTTGGAGAAATCCGAGGTTGTTCGTCTGAAGCTGACGGAAGCACAAAAACAACTTCCCGAAGACCACGCCAGCCATCCATCCAACCAGGAGAGCAACTCCATCTCGTCTTCAGCTGGGGGATCAGGAGTCAAGCAGGTGTTCCTCACGCCCGGAATCAGCGCCGAGAAGTTGATGTTCGAACGAGCTCTCGAAATGAGCCGGGCGGCTGCCATTGACGAAGTAACGAATGAAAACCTTCCGGGCTGCGAGCTATCCTACATTACAGCAATCCGAATGCTCGAGGCTGTTCTGGATGGCGATGAAAACGTGTCGCAAAAGGCCTTGGAATCGGGAAAGGGCTCGAACAAGGGAGCTGTCGCAGAAATCGACAGCGACGAGGAGCACATCAAAACATGTAAGTTTGATCTTTGACAACATCACGGACGAACGCTGACTGTTGGAAAAAGTGATTGGAATGATCACCGCCAGGCTGGTGTCCGTTCGTAAAAAGCTGCAAATGATTGCTGAGGCAAACAGGGCCCAGCAAGCATCACCGCGCCTTGGTCATCGCCGAAGCGGAGATGTGACGCCCCGAAGCGTGCCCTCGTCTTAATAGAGCAGCGGATAGGCGTAATGCGTCATGGTACATTTTCATTTCGAGGGCCAGGCTCGGCCTATTCCAAACGGACTCGAATTGATCCTCGGATTTTTCTCATCCGTCCTATTCTTTCATTGTCATTCTTAACCCTTTATTTGGTGCTTCTTCGGGACACACCGTCCCGTTGTCATGAAGCCGGCGTTTTTTTCTCTCATCATTTCCTTTACGCCAGGGTCTGAGAATTTAATCTATCATTGGCCGGAGTTATATATATCTTTTTACGGAATTGTTACAGATTGGAAGAAACCAGGAACTCGACTCCCCTCTATGCACACGACCCGAGTTCGATGGGAGGCTTGGAGACCCAAACTCACGAATCATTGGTCGGCCGAATGGTGTTTTTTTATTGATTATTAGCAAAACGACAGTTCATCGCTTCCATGCGAGTGGCTACGAGTACGGATCGAGAGTGTAGAATTTACGGAGTTTTTATTTTTGTTTGTTTTTCAAATCCATTTTTCAGGTCTTCGTTTCAACGGCGAACTGGGCTCATGATGGTATACCACTTACGGTTCACGGTCTTTAGGATGACAGTTTGACATCAGATACTAGGTTTGGTTCATGTGAGAGCAGCGGGTTCTTCCGCCCTCTTCTTTCTTTCTTTGGACAACGATTATTGCTAGGTTTGGGTTTCAGTTCCACGTGCTCCCCAGGGAAGCGTGCCAGGCAGAATAACCACATAGCGTATGAATAGCGATGTATGCTTCAACTTGTCAGGACCAGTTGTTCTTGTGATCTAGTTTCAACTAAACTTTGTTCTTTTTCCACAGCACATGCTCACTGTCTTGTGTGGTTCGGTGTTTGCTTGTGAACAATGGATAGAGGACATGTGCACGGAACGATGTTCAATAACAATGGAAAGCTGTTGGCAGTACACTTTAAAGTGGAAGCATATTACACAATCCTGTAGCTGTTACTCCCTTCTTTCTACGTTTTTCGTCCACAGCCAGCATCTACATTTCCCCCGGGTTAGCATAGCTCCCCCAACCTAGAAAAAAAGGAGTAGGAAACAGGAAATTCCTCTCAGCTAATCCCCCCCTCCCCTCGGAGTTCACAAGATGGCAAGAAGAAAGGGACCGCCGTCGCGGCTGAAGATTCCACGCGCGATAAAGCGGCACAGGAGGACCAGTTCGGACGGGTCGGTGACGGAGACCATCTTGTCCGCAGAGCTGGAGGGCGAGTTCCCGCGCACGCCTGACCCGCCTGACACGCCTGATACACCTGATACGCCTGATACGCCGGACACGCCTGATACGCCGGACACACCGGACACGCCTGACACGCCTGGGACGCCGCCGCCCCCGCCACCCCCGCCACCTCCGCCGATGCCGCCACCGCCGATGCTTGCTGCGGTGATGGGGCTGGAGGGTGGGCTGTCGGGGCACCTTAAGGGGGATGACGGGAAGATGAACGGGAGGAGAGGCATGGCGCTTCTGAAGGATGTGAGCAAGGATTTGGGGGGCTCGGGTGGGGTGGTGGTGACACAGGAGACCCAGGAAGAGGAGGAAGGGACGGTTGAGAGGGAGAAAGTCAAAGAAGAGGGGGAGGAAGTTAAGGAAGAGAGTGAGAAAGTCAAGGAAGAGAGTGAGGAAGTCAAGGAAGAGATTGAGGAAGTCAAGGAGGAGGGGGAGGAAGTCAAGGAAGAGAGGGAGAAAGTCGAGGAAGTCAAGGAAGAGAGAGAGGAAGTCAAGGAAGAGGAGGAGAAAGTCAAGGAAGAGAGGGAGGAAGTCAGGGGAGAGATGGAGAAGTTCAAGAGAGGCAGGGAGAAATATAAGAGAGAGAGGGAGAGGAAGGTTGTGCCGGGGACGTTGAAATACTTTGAGGGGATCCCCTTGCGGGAGGGGGAGAAGGGGAAGGGGTTGAAGGGCTGGAGTGGGTGGGAGAGGTGGGAGAGGGGGGAGAAGAGGGAGAAGAGGGTGCGTGTGGTGGTTCCGGAGGGTGTGCGGGAGAAGTGCCTGCAGTGCGGAGTAAGGAATCTGAGATGCACGCTGACGAAGAAGCTGATCGTCCCGGGAAGCGACGGGGTCTGGAGAGAAGGACCCTGTTGGCGATGTGTTCAGCACGGGGATGGGCATGAGTGTCTGGTGAAGCCTGGGCCGGCGGGCTGGCAGTTTGCGGAGAAGGACTTTACCGTGCTCCCGTACGACCCGACGGCTGATTTCTATGCCAAAGTCACGAAGGAGCAAGAGGTCGTGCTTGTGAATTTCAAAGATGAGGGGAGGACGCGAGAGATTCTGGACAAGTGGATCGAGCGGGAAGAGAAGGTTGTGGTAGATACCATAGCCAACTGCACCGCCAAGGTGAAAATATCTGCATTCGCGCCTCCTAGACCTCCAAACGCAAAGGAACTGGAACCATTCACATACAAGGACCGTGATGGTGGTGTTATTCTTAGACGTTGAGTTCAGGGTAGGTGGGAAGGTAGGTAGATTGAAGCATTCTGGTACAATTCTTGCGATGCCTTTGGAAGTTAGTTTAATCGCTTTTTCATCTAGGTACGATTTCGCCTTTATATATATACATATTTACTACTAGTCATTTCTGGACAAGTCAATTTTCGAAACCTAGGACTTATATGGCTGTCTTGTAAGCACACCGGGTCGAACCTGGGGAAGCCCCTCACTTGTGAAGATGTGAATGAAACTGAGATCTACCCCCACTTACAGAAGAAGAGATATCCGGCATGAATATCAGCACCCACATGACTTTGATCTTCTTTTACGATTTCTGGAAAACAGCCTGTAGAGTTTGGTATTTAACTAATTGATTTCAATTTACCCCCAGTATCGCAACGATGCCTCCACCCCCAGATCTTTCCGCCTACCGGCTCTCAGCCGCCGAGTCGGAGGCCATCTTCAACTCGGAGATTGTCCCACAAGATATCGCCCCCTTGCCGCCCTCCCCAAATCTTGAATCCCCTCTGGCAATCCTAGCTGTAGGCCAGACCGGCGCAGGGAAGACCCGCCTCTGTCCGGCTCTCCTGTCCGCCCTCGCCGCCTCTGACCGTAGGCCCGCCCACCTCATCGCAGACGTCTACAAGACACACCACCCTTCCTACTCCTCCATCGACCCCAGCCACCTGGCCTCGGCTGCCACGGGCCCGGACGCGCGCATCTGGCTCTCCATGGCCGTCAAGGAGGCTGCCCGCCGCCGGCTCGACATTCTCCTTGAGAGTGCGTGTCGCCACCCTTCCGACTTCACCTCGTTGGCCGAGATGCTGTCCCAGGAGGGTTACCGTGTCATAATCGTGCTGCTAGCTGTCCCCGCGGCGCTGAGTCGGCTGGGAATCCTGGCTCGCTTTTATGGAGATTTGCCCGAGGCACGGTCAAGGGGTCTGCCGCTGCGGCTGACGCCTGTCAAGGTGCACAATGATTCGTACGAGGGACTCGTTAAAGGTGCGGAATGGCTGGATGGGAACGACGTGGCCGAGCAGGTGGTTGTTGTACGGAGGGGGAATTTGGTTGCCTATGCGGAGAGTAGGGACGGAGCTGGCAAGGGAGGCATCGCCGAAGCAGTAAGACGAGAACGGAAAAGACCACTTACTGAAGAGGAGAAGAAGGTCGCGTTGAATGATTTGAAGACGCTGGACTCTTTCCCAGAGGCTGCTGGGGACACTGCCTTGGTGAGGAAGTTGCTCGAGCCCCTTATTCATAACGACGTGGGATCAGAAAGCGTATCTGATTTACACCCGCTGGAGTTTTCAAATTCTATAGATGCAAAGCATGATGGATACAACATACTGTGCATATGAATGTTGGTAGGCAGAAGCTGATATATTAAGCAATGACTCCCTGTAACATATCATGTGGTTCACATTGCTGGAAATTGGATTACTTCTCCAAGGTAGAGTTCAGATGCCACAACGGAGGCGAGGCCTTGAAAAACGGAGATGCAATGTACTCTACTCACTAGCTTCGCCCATCTCAATTACTATTACAAGGTCATTTCGTTATATAGTCAAGTGATCGAAAGATTATGGAGTGCCCGTACAGAAGAGCCGTTAGAGAGCAGCTTAGGGGAGAGCGTATGGGTCGCTAATACTGCGATCTTGATCCGTTAGGAATTTCGAGTTTGTCTTTTTTAGAGCCTCGAGAACTTGTTCTCTTTGGCCCCCACGCAGAGGGGGGTGCAGATGTTTTTGTAGCCCGGTAAGAGGAAGAAACAGAGCGTCGCCATGCTTGGCAACAGTTATTCGTCTTCTTTTGGCCCTTAGCTGGGGTGCTGATTCTCTGTCATGCGTTGGATGGATAAAGATGCTTGTTTTCGCTTCGTTCACTTTGTGGCTCGGAAATTCCATTTGACTCGGATACTTTTCGGCTGGGTTTGTCCCATTGTCTTTATAGCAATGGTTTTCGCCCCGGCGAGTATCATCAAAATGATGACTTTCTGTCAAAGGACCATGACGCACTGGCCAGCACTCCTCAGAGGCATCTCCGGGGGAAGGATCGTGGCTGAATTCTCCGGTAGATATTGAATCTTCCAAAGCCAATGGCATAGGTCGGAATTGCTCTGGATTCTGCCACTCAGCCAACATCTTCTCATCTAGTTGCTGGAAGAATTTCAGGTGTTTTTCAGGGGTGGATAGCCACGAATGAGAACTTGCCAAAGCGGTAGTCAGTCGCTCTTCTGGGTTAATACGTAGGCATCTCCGTACGAAATTCAGACTTTTCGAAGATCTTCTTGATGCAGCTTTCTCATTGAGCTCGCCAATATATCCGTCGAGAACTTCCTGGTCCAACCGAATGAGCTCACTGAGCTCGTCATCTGTAAGCGGAACTAGTAAAACGAGTGTGACGATACCCATGGACCAAATGTCCACAGCAGGCGTCTGGATGGACCCAAATACAAGTTCTCTAAAGGAAATTAACCGAATGAATAGCTGAGGCTATTATGGGCTTGGGGCCATTCACTTACGGGGCTTGATAACTTGCTGTACCTACATTGCTTGTCATTCTATTGCGGCGAGGAACAGACGAGGTCCCGAAATCAGACAGCATCACTCGATAGTGCAGGAGTTTGGGAGAGAACGCAAGTAGGATGTTTTCGGGCTTGAGATCGCGGTGGACAACTCCTCTGCTGTGGAGAAACTGTAAGCCACTGGCAACTTGCCACAAAATGATGCGAACATCAAATTCGTCGATCAAATTGTGTCGATAAATAAAAGACATCAGATCGCCACCTGATGCGAGCTCCGTAAACGTGTATCTTTAACCGATCAGCAAACAAATTTTCCGAGAAAATGTACGAGGCGTGGGGATTGGGCGTACAAAGTGTGCGGAGAACTAATACAATCCACGTAGGACAGAATATTTGGCTACGCTGTTTTGTTAGCAGTAATTCAGAGGCAGGATGACGGTGGTACAGACATGATGCAGTTGACGAAGTATATCCGCCTCTTGGAACCTTCGTTGGACTTGCTTCGTAACATCTCGACCTCGTAATTTTTGAAGATTCACTACCTTGCACACTAACTGTTTTTTGGTCTTGGTATCCGTAGCTAGGTGAACACATGCTTCGGCTCCTTCTCCCAGACAGCGATTGGTGACAAGATATTTGTCTACAAACAACTATACACTCTTAGTATGCCTTCGTTTCTAGCAATAGGAACATAGAAATCATGGATGGAATACCTTGCATTCCTCGCTCTGAATACGGGTGAACTCATGGCGTCTAGGGTGGTCAGTTTGGAAGAGCTTGAACTTCCAGTAAGGCCGCAACTCTATCTCATCCCCATGATCAAGAAGATAGCCTGGCGTTACATTTGGACCGACACCTATCAGTGTGCCGTTGACATATGTCCCGTTGATGGATTTTCTGTCGCGGACATATACATGATTGATAGATGTTTCGTAGACGACAACGTAAATCTCACAGTGATTGCGAGACACGGTGAACTCTGGATCGCTGTCGATGGAAAATGTGCTTCTTCTTGTCAGAAAATATCACAGTTGACAACTGGAAGAAGCTGACTTACTTTGATTTTGCATCACGTCCAATCTTTAGAAATTGCTGTTCCCAAATGAGGATTGAACCTGACCATTCTTTAGTGGACAATTCCTTGTGTGCACCTGTCTGCCCACACTGGATTACCTTGGGGTTCGGATCCAACTCGAGAATCATACACTTGAAGATGACCAGCGATTACATCGTGAGAATCTTCTTCGCGAAGCGCATTGCCCGGAATTGTCCCCATGGTCAGTCCCAATCAAGGTGCTGGGATAGCGCTGGGCCAGTGTTACGCTGAGTGTCTTCACAATTGAACATCAAATGGAAAATGAAATGTGGCAATTATATTTGTGGTAAGGGATAGAATTAGTTTCAATTCATCTTAACTGTTTCACTTCTCCAATGATCCGATGGAGGACTTCCCTTCTCTTGTGGACTGAAGCAAGAGCTTGACCTTGGCTCCTTCCCTACCTCCTTCAAGAGCTACCTCGGCCGCCTTAGGTACCCACTTTTTACATGGAGAAGGCCTGGATACACAGTGTTAGTGTACAGTGCCGTCGTATCAGCACGGCTTACCCTTGTCCCCGCACAGGTACCAAGGTCGAAAAGTGCCTCACGTGATGCGCGGGGGTTTGCAACCCTACAGGTGCCTGTGACTTATCCGTCGCAATTCCTCCCCTCCAATTTGGCCCTGTTTCCTCATCTCAACACGATTCTCATCCACGAACCAGTAAGTTACTCGCAGCCCTGCACGTCATCGCAACGAGGCAACCATTGATAGGAGCTCAATTATCGCATTCCTATCGATGGCTGAGAATCTCTTTGTCGTCGCTGTCGCATCTTGAAGCTTGGAGCTCGAAGCTAACTCATGATTCAGACTACTCGTTCAAGATGAGAGCCAAATGGAGGAAGAAGCGCGTTAGACGCCTCAAGCGAAAGAGAAGAAAGATGAGGGCTAGATCGTAAGTCAATTATCACTGTCTCGATCGATGGTATTCATTACTGACATCAATCACAGCAAATAAGCGTCTCGCCCTAGACCCAGACCAACCGCATCTTTTATGAGTTCAAACACAGAACACCCCGCGCTGGACTGATACAACAATCTTGCAATGGACGACGCAAAAGTCTTAAGTTGTTTGGAGGAACCCACTGCGCCACTCGATGGCTGTACTTGGAGTATTACCCGGTGGAGAGAGATGAAACGACAATACGAGGGAGGTCTGGAGCAGTTATAGGCGTTTAGGATCGACCAGTTTCAGGGAGCAAACTTCCCGTGAAAGAAACGCTTGGTAATGCAGTCTACCATAAGATTGCCGAAAATAAAAAAGCAGAGTTTGCTCGTGATACATTTTCTGTCCATTGTGAAGTGTGCTCTTTATGATCATTGCTCGCGTGCCAATATTCAGAAGCTCTGTGTTGTGGGCATGCGCAGGGTCGCGGAACACGATGCGATGAGCTATCTGTCTTGCCATTATTGTATTTGAAATTGCCGAATGAACGAATTCCCATTTTTAAGCACTCGTTGCTCTATCATGCGGCTGCCAATGCCATGAGCACACCTCGACACAGCTGTGGAAATCACAACAGCTGAGGAGTAAACATTCCAACCAACCTCACCTCACCTCACCTCACTGTGACGTCGCTGATTAGCCCAGGTTTTTGGCTGGTGGGGTGGAGACTTCCCAGCTTTCACCGCCCCGGCTGAAGCCCGGCCCATTTTTTTTCTGCCGCTGCAACCAGTCTGATATGAGGAAAAAAAATCCCAGCCGACAGCCCACCTCTCCACTGCTGGCCGTCCAAAGGAGAACGATTTCAGCACCCATCCACCCCCCGAAACGATATCTAAATGGCGAAACGAAAGAGAGATGGCGAGGCCTCGGCCAAGGTATCCAAAAAGGTGGCCATTGATGCGCACGCAGCATCTGCCAAGGTTTCCTCGTTCCTCCAGTCATCCGAGTGCCCTCCGGTAATAGGTATGCTCAACGTTGCGCATATTTTGACTTTTCGTGTTCCGGGTTTTCTAATGAGACTTGCAGCTAAACACCCCGGAATCAATGTGCCAACAAACCTTTCATTTCAGTCATATGCCCCGAAGAATTTGGTCAAGTCCAAAGGGAAATCGAGTAAATCGCAAGGACAGAAGGAGCTCCTGCTCCACTCGATAACTCACCCTAATATCGACTATACGGCAAAGGAGGATGTGCCGCGGGGATCCAAGCCCTTTCTGAACCACTATGTTGGGGTTTACGATCCCAAGACTGGCAAGATGCAGGTCATCGAAGGAAAGAGGATGGAAGTTCGTGGCATCGTCCGATCGAAGAAGGCACCGGAATCAGAGCAGGCAGATAAGGACATCAAGCAGGTATGTGGATCTGAAGCAATATTACAGAGATTGTCCAATTGGAGGCTAACAACTTTGCAGACTTTGATGGAGCTCAAGGCAGACCTAGGCCAGACCTTTGGAACGAAGAAGGCAAGGAAGGCTATTCAAGATACCGTGATGAATGCCATTTCAGCACCGAAGAAGCCTGGGGAGGACACGCCGGCAAAAATAGACAACGCCGCCCGCGCTATGCTCCAGTCGGTGGGCACCATCACTTCGACAATGGCCACCCGCGAGGAGCTCCAGGCCGTGGTCGATGAGGCCAAGCCTGTGCCCATCGCAAACGTGGATGCGGACGAAATCATTGACGTATACGACCCCAAGACGATTATCGGAGGCGACATCCTTCACCTCGTCCCAGTACGAGAGTGGCAAGAAAAGGTTCAGCACAAGGAGAGCATCCAGGTCGTTTCGCGGTTTGTGGCCGCCCGCGTCAACCACATTGCGGCCAATGAGGATGCCACGACCCGGCTGCGGGTGCTACGCTACTTTTACTTTGTGCTGCTCTTCTACCTCCACACCAAGCCTGGGAAGCAGAGGGGCATCCGGCAGCTGCCACCGCGAGAAAAGCTACGAGAGGCACTGGCCCCAGCACCCGAGGCCGTCATCGAGAACATCCGACGCAAATTCTCCGACGCTGGGCAGATGCGGAAGTACCACATTGATCTTTTGATGACGCACTGTTGCGCATTTGCGTGCATCGTGGACAACTTCGAGGTGGACACGCAGAATCTCAGAGACGATCTAAGGGTCGACCAAAAGACGATCAACTCGTATTTCCGCGAGATTGGGGCCAGGGTGAAGCCGGTATCGAACAAGGGAGAGGGAAAGACGCTGCAGCTGGCTCGGTTGACGCTGCCGCTCGATTTCCCGAAGCAGAGACACATTGCTCCCAAGAAGCGATAAGAGGGCGTGAGAAATAAAATGAGGGGGAGGGATTCGAGTTGGACGAATTAATGGCCGCATTTTCTTTCGAGACGGATCACTCAGTCCGAACGACACATTACCATATAGACTTGCATTGGGGGTTGGATGGGTATTTTTGCCGCTGAAAAAAATGGAGTGAGTGAGTGTGTACTGTAAATAGCCGGGCATTGCATATTATTATCGTGTTGTTCTCTTGCCTCTGCTATTGCCCTTGAATCATCGAGTAGCTGGATGTAAGTATCGGTATGAGCTGGTCCTCGGCTCATCACCAATTGGCCCTACCATCGACGAACGGGTGAACACACTCAAAATACAAACCAAATTCATTTTCCGTACGGCACAATCGACGTACAGACTGTATTGGGTCTGCCGGGGAACCGGTTGCAGAGCTGGACTCCGCCCCCGCAATCTCGGTCCCCGTTAACAACTTTAGGCCGAGGCATCTCGGGAGCTTGATTGGCTTGATTGGATGTCGGACAGAGTAGCGGGTTCTCACCTCGGCGTCCAGCGTTGACAAACATATCAATGAATTGGCGGTTCAGGCCGTACTTTATATTCACACTGGGATCCCCGTAGCCAGCTGCTGGGCTCGTCTCTGCTTCCATCTTGCTGCTTCCCGCATCTCTCGCACTGCCCTTGGCTAGGTATACAACCTGTTATATAGGCATACATGTACATGCCCCTTGGATATATGTAAACCACACAGCCTCTTCTACTTCACAGACAACAAAATCAACACGTCTCAAAGACAGTCATCATGGCATCGGAACAGAAGAGCCCCATCAGCCTGGAGTACAAAGGCCGTGTCGCCGTCCTCACCATCGACAATCAGCAGAAGCTCAATGCTCTCAACCAGGCAGCCTACTACGACCTCGCACAGAAGCTGCGAGAGATCGCGACCCACGACGAGGTCTTCATCACAGTCATCCTCGCCAAGGGCCGCTACTTCTCAGCGTAAGTAATTTCACCCGATGAGCCAGCCTCACCCGTCAGCTAACACCCAACAGCGGCGCCGACGTGACCATCGCGAGAGCCACGCCCGCGGCCGGAGACTTGGACATCCACAAGCACTGGCTCCAGAACTTCGTCGCCTTCAACCTCAACATCACCCACGCCTTCAGCACCCACCCCAAGATCCTCGTCGTGGGGCTCAACGGCCCCGTCGTCGGCCTCTCCGCCGCCATCGTCGCCTTCGCCGACTTCATCTACGCCGCCCCCCACACCTTCCTCCTCACCCCCTTCTCCTCCCTCGGCCTCGTCGCAGAGGGAGGGGCCTCCCGTGCCCTCGTCCAGCGCCTCGGCCCCGCCCGCGCCAACGAGGCCCTCATCATGAGCAGGCGCATCACCGCCGACCAGCTGGTCCAGGCCGGCTTCGTCAACGCCGTCTTCGACGTGGAGAAGGGCGACGACGTCCGCTTCCACGAGCTCGTCCTCCGCGAGGTCGACGAGAGGCTGGGCGAGCACCTCAGCGGGTCGAGCCTGCTGGGCATCAAGAAGCTGATCCGCCGCCCGGAGCTCGAGATCACCAACGAGCAGAACGTGCACGAGGTGTTTGCGGGCTTGGAGCGGTTCGTCCAGGGGATCCCACAGGAGGAGTTCCGCAAGATCGCGAGCGGGGAGAAGAAGCATAAGCTGTAGGCGAGGGGCTCAGTTGTGTTTACGTAGCTGGGAGATTAGATATCTATTATTTACACTGGTGTGTGAGCGAGGTTTGAATGAGGGAAAACATGATGCGCTGGGCTCTTCTTTTAGAATTTTGAATGCGACTACCAATCTATACATACAGTCTATTACGCTAACAATCCAAAGAGCAGTTTGGTTCGCTGCCAGAAGACATCTGCAGACTTCTTCATGCGCTGCCGCGATGCCTCGTCAAGACCGGTCTGCCTCACAAGCTTTTCCTCCAGGTCCTCCAGGTAGGGTGATGAGACCTG